ATCTGGAGACATTTGAAACCGAATACCTAAGCGGATACTTCTATAAACGAATGATAAGTTATGAAAACGCAGCTGCTGGACTAGTGTAAACACCTGAAAACAGTAATAGCAAAAACTATTCGGATTCAGTGGAGCGGAGTAGTGTAAACGTGGCCGTAGTTCTATTGCAGTAGTGTTCTTATATAAACTGTGAAATTCCACACTGTCTGCAGGCATATTGCGGATTTCACTTCCGTTTGAACATTGCTTGATGTATGAGTTGATTTTCCATGCGTAGTTTATTAGGCGCATGTGATCTCCATGCAATACTCAGTGTCAAACACAAGTGAAATCCACTTTATAACTCCTGCTAGACACTAAAAGTTTCTCCGTGGAAACCATGCACCCACACACCTGGTATAAGATATAATACATGTCATAAATAGACCAATTACATTCTATATATTGTACCATCATGTACTCTTGACCGTACTAATTCAAAGCTGTAATGACAAGCAGAACTAATACATTTAGCATGAATTTTGATAACAAAAGAGATGTTAAATTTTTGTGTATGACGAATAGTGTTATATGCAGTCACATGGTTGTAGTAAGTACTATACAGCTGGTTAGTTTTGCAGAGAAAAAATTTCAAATCCTTAAAAATTTCAGATTAAGTTTTGACAGTTATGTAAGTTTTGTGGTCCTTTTGGATGCATTTACAGACTTGCAAAATTTAATTCTCCACAAATATGTCTATAGCTATCACAATAGAGGATAATAACAGCTATAGCATTCACTATTGTACATCTGGTGTCTATAGTGATAAGCAGACATGACAATTAGGTTTTATTTGACAAATTTAGTGTCAAAAGACTTCATTACTTTTTATTAACAAAAGTATTACAATTTTTATTGTTAGATGCTTCAATTTATGCATTTCCTGTAAGAGATGTTCGTCTTTTGGATGAGATCTATGAGCTACAATTAGAGTTCTCTGATATTCTTAAAGAAACAAGAGATGCTTTTAAACCTGAACTCCTTCCAGATATTATTGATTATCTTGAGACACATGTTGCTGCTCTACTTGGTCCAAACAAAAATAATCAAACTGAAGAAATTACAGAAGAGTTTAATAACATTCAAACAATGAAAGATCTTTTTAAGATTTTACAACGAAAGTACATATCATGGTTCAACTATGAACTAATAGTTAAACTTGTTGATGTATTCCTGCCTAAAAATCATTCATTAAAGAGGACTTGGTCAGACTATAAGGAGAAATTGACGGATTATTTTCTTAACAGTGGTGGCTTATCAACTGATGCTAATGCTTTAGAATTTGGTATAACAGATGTTCCTCCTGGTGCACAAGTAATGATTGCTAAAGTTGATTGTCATGACTACACACCAGCTGACCTTTTCTTCTTTCGTAGAGCAATACCAAAAGAACTAAATATTCCTAACGTTTATCTATACTTTAGTTTTGTTCGTATTGGCTCACTACAGCTGCTACATAATATTCCTGATTACTTATACTCTGCATTGTTTCCTCTAACTACAGAGATACAGGAACAGTTAGCTAGTATTGGTATCTCTGAACTAACATGTGGTGATTATAAATATGATCTAAGAAAGGTTTGTAATTATCCATTAATATTAAATAAATTTATATTGTTTTAATAGTTCTTAGCATCACAAGAGTTGCAGCAGTCATCTTTAAATATTGGTAAGTGTGTGAGTATAATATGTACTGTAATTTTACTTTCCACTATCTATTGTGATGTCATTATTTTGATTATCCATTCATAATTTCTTTTAGATATATGTGATCCATTATGGTATGAGAATACCAGTACACCATTACATGAAGCAGCTTGGAGAGGATTAAAAGATGAAGTACAATGGCTTCTTAACAAGTTTGGCTACAGCAGATACCATCGTGGTCTTCATGGTTGGACTCCATTACACTCTGCATCATATGGTGGACACATTGAGATCCTTCAACTACTCATCCATCAATATGGTATTGATCCTAATACAGGTGATGATAATAGTGTATCTAGTATACATATGGCATCTTATAAAGGCCACTTATCTATAGTACAATATCTAGT